TCATGTAAAACATGTATAGTATGAAGCATAACACGAACCATTACCTCCGTGTCATCTGGTCTGTGCTAGAATCTCTTGACAGCTCCTGTACACTTGAACCAAACAATTCAGCCGAGGCTTTGAACTCTGGCGGAAGAATGCAAAATGTTAATTTACAGACTGACATCCCAAAGATTCTTTTCATTTTGCTTTTGCAATAGAACAACAGCAGCTGCTTCTTACATTGAAAAGAGGGACAACACTGGCCACTGTCTCAGGATCTGCTGGGTCCTTGATCAGAATGCACAGATAGTATATAATGCTGTGCTGAGGTGGAAACATACAAGAGTGATTATTTTGGACCGTTTCTAGATCAAAATGTCCATCATGCACAAGAGTCACTGGAGAAAACGGCATGTTTACCATATAAACAGCCTCGTTGATGACAATGTCTTTCAGCTTGCTCATCTCAATGAAGATCGTGCTTTCTCGCCCAGATGCATAAGATGAAGACAGCTGGACACCGAGGGAGCCGATTATGAGAAGGGTCTCATGGTCCACCTTCACGAAGTGAATATGAATCATCATCCCAACCAAAGTGAGGATAATGGCACTCGACAGGACAGCCGTGTTCTAGACATTAAATAAGTCGTTATTAGAAGAATAAACTCATTTTAGTATTAGAAAGCTTACGAGTTCATATTCTTACAGTATAAAATGTTCTTACCTCGGTGAAGAAAAATACAGCATAAGCAAATAACCAAACGAAGCAGGTGTAGACCATCACCTTGCGCAAGGACAGTTTCGGCGAGGTGACTGTGAACTCTCGGCAGAAAGCAGAGTGAGTTTGGCAGTCTAAAGAAATCGAGTTGCCATTTATGTCTGTGAACTCTTCCTCGGCCATGTTGATCACCGTCAGACTCAGAACATTATATGAATAAGGATTTCGGATTAAATAGCTTTGCTTTGACGGTCACTTGACAACAAACAGCGGAATCTTCTTCGTATGGGGTATGGCGTTGGAACATTAATAGAAACGAAGTTTTCCGCCCCCTACTGGACTGGGGTGTGGAAAATGTAAGAATTCGCTCTAATTGACCATTTCAGGGTAGACAGGCCTATTATTTCATTTTCCGTGAATAAAAATGAGGCCCAGACAGTCAGTTCAGTGGGTTGTTGCTACTGTTGTGTACCTGGATGTCAGCCATTTATTTGAAATGCATGTTTAAAAAAATAAATATAATAATCAAATTAATGTATTGTGTAAAAAAAAAATTGATGGGATTTTTGTATATACAGGTTCTATACGGTCAAATTTTCACAACCATGTAAGACAGTAAAACGTTTAGAATGGTCTGCATGTCTGTCCTTCAGATCCTTGCTTTCATTAGTGAAAAATTAAATGTTGTCTGAATATGGTCCACACAATGATTTATGTTTACAAGTTATAAAGGTGACTTTTTAACAGCTTAATCTCTGTGAAAATTAACACAAGGGACTTTACACTTTATGCTACTTTTTTAAAAGAGTACAACATTCTTTAAAAGAATATATTTTGACGAATATAAGGGTGAACTAATTTGTACACTATTTACAATTAAATGAAAGTCTAAACTTTAAATCTAAAAATAAATAACAGTTACTTTTTTATCAAGTGCTTCACATGTGCTTTAATATGTTAGTCTACATATTAAGTGTACTTCTTTAAAGCACAACAAAAGATGAAAATAATTTAAAATGTACTTTAAAATTATTTTTACATTGCAAAGTGCACTTTAAGTTTAAGTGTTAAGAAACAAAAGTGTTCATTAACTTTATTTCATCTGCAAGCAGACTAGAGTTTTTTTTTTTTGTAAACATACTTTTAAGATTTGAAGTATGTTTAGTAGTCTGTCCCCTCGGTTCCCAAACATGTTCTTGTTTTTGAAATCATATAGCTGTTGACTACTCACCAGCCAAACTCTCCTATCACATCCTATAAGTAAATTTGGCTTGTGTGGAGAATGGACTCCGTTTCCCATCGGTCTTTGCGGCTGGTAACCTTCGACAGCCGCTCCAGTGAAAACAAGCCGATCAGCTGATTTGACCTGGCAACAACATTTACCCGAATCTACCGGGGAGGGGAATCATTTTACAAGCTGGTGGGGAAAAACAGTTATCTTGACATCAACCGGCTTATTAATTTGTGTTTAACAAAGGGTCGTTGTCGCGTGCGATGTTTCAGGGAATTCAGCAGCTTGCTTGATGAAAACTGCGGTGTGATTCTGGCTCGAAATCAGGTTGTTTTGTTCGGTCAAAGCTGTGTTGTTGGGTGAACATACTTTAAGGACAGTCTGTACGACACTAAACCGTTATTAATTCAGCTGCATTAGTCATATTTCTAACCCCCTAGTATTTGTAGTCTTTGAAATTTGAGGTGTTTTTACAGACACGTATGCTAAGCTCAGCTAGCTTGAGTACGTTAACGAAGCCCAGGACGATAACAACACCCGAATGTAGCTGTATTTTTTAGTGGTTACATGTGCCAATAAATACATGTCGGTGGTTGTTGCTTGTAGTTTGTAAGTTTAGACACTTTAGACCGCTTGATCACTTTAAAATCAACCAGAAAACTAGACAAGTCTGACCTAGTGCCAGTGCTATACGGGATGTCAACTGATCTATTTATAGTTCATATTGAATATTTGATTTTAAGCCAGTGTCATAATCGGACACATCACATTTTGAATTCCAATGAAATTCATGGCAGACGAGTAAGGTATTTTGTTTAAAATCTCAAATGCGTCATATTTGAGCCATTATATATCATCTGTCTTGCTGGTATCTGCTGTAGTTGGTTCAACTTTGAGGAATATTTAGTCAGTGTATTTAAAGAGGGATTTTAGTACTTTAAATTCGGTTCGCTACCTCGCTGTTATATTTAGACGTATAATGAACAGTCAGGGCTCGTCGGTGGAGAAGGGGGTGAAGATAACTGCATAATTAACACACTATATTTAAAATATAATTAGCTCTTGAATTATTAATGTCTTCTTCACAAAATGTAACATACCTCAGGTGTCATGACTTCCAAATGCTTGATTAATCTTTTATTTTCAATGCCAAAACACTGAATACTTTGTCAATGATTCCATCAGTCTATGACAAACAACAATGCAGATATTTCACTTATTAGTGTTTCAAATAAATCCAGCATCTAATAATTTAATTACATTCCAATAGTTTCAGATTATAATGAATGATAATATATTGAGAATCTTTGGTGTAACAGTACTATGAAGCTATAAAAATAAGTAATTGTGGTATGTTATTGTACCTGTTCTTCATCAAACACTGAGATACGTAGTTTGCACAGATTTTTCAGTGTGGGTGCATAACTCGGATGCTTGTGTAAAAACATTTTTTGTGATTTCACTGCACCAGATGTGAGGTCATGATGGAGTTTCTACAAAAGAAAAAAGTTGTTTTACAGCACAATATTACCATTTATCAATGTACTACATATGTTAATCTTGAAATTCTTATGTGTCATACAGCATGTATATGTGCCATTTTATTTAAAGGTTTTCATAACACTTACCAAAATTTCTTCATTATTCACAACTGTGTTGACCAAAAGCCCCTGTTTCAAAGCTGTGAGGGTGCTGTAAAGTAGACATATGCATTAAAAGTAGTTTTATGATATTTTGTTTGTTATAGTTCTGTTGCTAACCTTTGAAAAGAATATGGCTGTTCTTGATCACATCCAAGTAATTGTGTCTTTAGTAATTGTTTTAGGGTCTATGCCAGAGCAATCTGTGTGTAACCATTTGTTGCACAGGTCACACTGAAACCACTTCGTACGTTTGATGTGTGGATGCAGAGCTCTAAAAACATAAATATTGTTGTAATTTTAACAGCAGCAAAATTCAATTACACCAAAACTTGCATATGCCACAGTACTTACTTATCTGCTGTGTTTTGATAAATGCAGGCTTTTATGTCCTGGGCTATGCAGTTGTTGGTCTCTATTTCGCTTTCCTCTGTTTCTCCAATTGCAGTCGGAAAGTCCTGTCCAGCAGTACATGTGAATTGTAATATTCTCTTTTTGTCAAATTTGATTGAAACTCTAAATTCCTATTTCTCTTACTTCAGTTGTCATATCTTTCAACATGCTTGTGGCATGGTAAACACATAGGTGAACTAGCTGACATGTTTGAAGCACTTCAGATGACATTTTCATGTTTTTTGCTTCCATTTCTGCTGCCTTTAAAACAAAAAAGCATTGTTGTTCACAGCCCAAAACAACACATTTACATTGAAAACATTTTTATAGTGAAGTGAGAAATAAACTTTACAGTGCACACAAATACCCCAAAGTTCACACTGTTCTGGATTCCAAACAGTCCAGCCGTCCAGTGACCCATGTTTTTGGAAATTAAAACAGAGCTCACCCATCATGCATCTTTCACTTTTTCTATGTATTATTAATATAATGTTTTTAAAATAATTAATGTTTTTATAAAATACTTGGTAAAGATGAGAAATGTATTACCTTAGAATCTCCATGTCATTCCTTTTTATAGAATTGTAGATCCTCATTTAATCATAAATACGCACTTGTTTTGCAAGGGCATCAAAAACCTGTGAAATTATCCTCTGAAAAGTTACAGTCAGCATAAGACAGTGTTACAGCACTATAACCAGTTTCTTGCAGACATTACCCAGAGTATAAAGTGGTTTCCTAGTTCTGGTGTGTTACCCCCAACGATTCTTGGGAGCAGGATCTTTTGAGCATCCTACAGGGGAAATCATACGTCATACACATACACACACACACACACACAGATATATATATATATATATATATATATATATATATATATATATATTTTTACAGCACTATAACCAGTTTCTTGCAGACGTTACCCAGAGTATAAAGTGGTTTCCTAGTTCTGGTGTGTTACCCCCAACGATTCTTGGGAGCAGGATCTTTTGAGCATCCTACAGGGGAAATCATACGTCATACACATACACACACACACACACACAGATATATATATATATATATATATA